CTGCTGAACTTGCACTTTAATTTGCATGAGGTGTATGTGTTTCCATGCAGTTCATGTCTCTAACCCTGGGGATTTGATCCAGATCTACCTGGACAGTTCTGAACAGAATAAAACATTGTTACTCGTAATAGATGTCCTGTGTAATTAGTGGCACATGTTAAATACAATGTGGGGAGTTCTCTTTTCAAATTCATCTAATGTGGAAAAGAAAATCAAAATGTACCTTTTGAAGAGCTGCATTTTTCTCCTAAAACTAGACTTTAAAGGCAACTGATGGCAGGAAAACTCAAGGGGAGGGGAAGTGCAGTAGCCGTCTTGTGTATCAGATCTACTGGCTTTAGTTTTAACTTTGCTTTTAGGATGGGTTTTGCAGCTTGTCTTACAGGTGTGTGCGATGGATCAGAACTCTTGCTGAAGGCAATGTAGGAACTGAAATCAAGGGCTAACAAATGTAATGGATGTTTACCTTCCTACTGCAGCTATTACTGATTTAGAGACCAGAAGAGAGCTAAAGGAGGGGAAAATACTGTGTGAATCTATAAGATGACACCCAAACCCCCTGCCCTGAACAAACAGGAAAAAACACCCCACCTTCTGCAGCAAATGAGAGAAGAAAGCTCAATGTAAGTTAGGACATACAATGAGTTGTAGCTTGTGGAAAGGGAGAGGATGATGCTGTCAAATGCTTGTGTGCTGTGGGTAACACGACTGGAGGAAGACAAACACTGCATGGGGCAAGTCCTGTCAAAGCAGCAGTGGGCAGGTAAGGTGTGGAGGTGAGGCTGTCATGGGGCGGCAGAGACTCTTTTGAGGGCTGTGGTACACATTTACATTGTTCATAACTGCATTTGCTTCCCTCGGGAAGCAGCTGGGTCTTGTGAGCCTTAAATTATGACTGGAATGACTTAACAAATACTTGTTACAGCCTCAGTCCAGCTGCCTGCTCGTGCAGATGGTGCCTCTAGAGAGCTAATGACTGTTTAATGAGCATGAAGCCCCTTGTTTCCCGGAGGGGGGTGCCCCTGCAGCAG